GTGTTGAGGAATGTTGAGGGAGTGTTGCGGTTGTGTTGAAGGTTGTGTTGAAGGTTGTGTTGAAGGTTGTGTTGAAGATTGTGTTGAGGTTGTGTTGAACGTTATGTTAAGGGTTGTGTTGCGGGAGTAATGAGATTTAGCTTAGCGTCACCCTCAGTTTGGTCTGACAGGCACAACTCATCTCTGTGTGTTGTCAGGAGGTGGAGTGATGCTATAGTTTCCCCCTGCTTCCAGTCTTTGTGCTAAGCTAGGCTAACTGGACACACTGGCATGTGGTTGTGCAGATACAGAATGTTTTAGAGTTTTATTTTCTATCCTGCTGCATGTTTCCTGTTTGTTAAGGCTCATTCACCAAATGTGCACTTTTTCATGGTTGAAATGGGCGGAGCTGAGAATGTATTCATCCATCACCTGCCCACAACACAAACCTGATTGGCTGTTGCTGCGATGATGAAACTGCTGCTGCTGCAGGTGATTGGTGGAGTGAGTTGTGCTGTGCCTGATCATGTGAAGGTTGTTTCAGAATAAAAGCGTCTCCAGACGACTCACACACATTCATCATCAGCAGGATTTCTCATTTGTAATAAACTGATCTGATCAATCAAAGTGTTTCTGATCAATTGTGTTTACATTCATGTTGTTTGTGAAGAAAAGTAATTGATTATTGTGACGTTAACCCTCCTCCAGCACACATCGTCTCAGAACAGCTTATACATATTTATATATAAATACACAGATCAGCTGTTTTATTTTTTTGAACTGATGTAAATGGTCACATGATCGTCTGAACTGGTCCTGGTCCCGATCCCTCTGCTGGAGATATTGAATGATCTGGGTCCTGGTCCTGATGATGAGGGGTTTCCTGCTGTCCAGCAGGGGGCAGCAGAGGTGTGTGTGTGTGTGTGGGGGGAGGTGGCAGGTGGAATCAGGTCACGTGACTCCGCCCCTTCCAACTGCTTGGTCACAGAATTAAAGGAAGCAGAGATGAGAGGTGAGAGAAGCTTTTATTTTTTAAACTGGCTTTGATGTGATTTCTTTATCTCTTAGTTCTTTGTTCTGGGTTCAGATGATCTTTAGTTTGAACAACATGTTTATGTCTCAGGAGCCAGAACCTTCCAGAGCTCCAGACCAACGGTTTCACTGGTTTCACTGGTGCACCGAACTTTTTCATTCAGATGCACCGAACATTTTTCTCTGCGACTTTTGGCAACACAATATTACAGGTGTTCCCATATTTACCATATATTTTGGTAATTTCTTAAATAGGGCTGTTTGATTACATTTGTTCGAATATCAGTTCAGGATATTTCAGTGTACGAGACCAATTTTGTCAGGATATGAACTAAAGCTGTAAACTGAGCAAGGAAACCTCTTAGTTCATGAATATTAACTGTAAGTGTCTGCTCGTCACGTTTTCAATGTGTTCAGATTAAGATAGACTCAAGATAAGATAAGACTTAGTCCCACATGATGTCTGGGGGTTTTACTGTTTCCCTCTTTCCCTGACGTCCCAGCCCCCCTCTGCTCTCACTCTCTCCTCTGCTTACAGCAGTCACACCTGCTGCCGGCAACTTGCCTCCACCACCCAAACCTCCACCTTTAGCACCGAGTCAAAACACGGTCGTGGTAAACGATATTCATCTTGAACAAATGTATCTTGCCTGCTACGCCCACCGGGGGGTTCTGCACACGTTCCCTGTTTTATCTTAGCACGCTGCTCGGCTAATCCGGGGAAAGAATGGAGCCTTCAGCACCAAGTACAACTGTATTCATATTGTGCAATAAATGGTTAAATCATGACAAAGCTTTCCTGACTGTTGAACTCGTAGAACGGGCCCCTGGTTTGTCTTGTGCAGAGGATGAGTTGGACCGTGAGGAGCAGGAGGATCAGGAGCTGGAGGAGATCAGCAGGAGGCTGATCATCCAGGAGGAGCAGATCTTCAGTCACAACTCTCCCTCTGAGGTTGACGAGGACCAGCTGCTGATAGACTTCGAGGCTCTGAAGATGAAAATATGGATGGCCATCCACAATACCCTTACCTCGTCCTCATCCTCAGGACAGCTGGATGTCCTGAGGAGTGCCGTGGCTTCCATCCAGCAGCAGGAGGCACAAGACCAGCGCTGGACATGTCGTCCTGACAACAGACTCCCAGTGTGGCGTCCTCTTAATTGTGTCAGCACTCACAATACTCTGCTGCAGAACATGGTGGCGTCCAGACTCACGAAGGCTGCAGAGGACGAGTTGAGTGGAACCGACAGCCTGTCCTCACCCATGAAGAGGCAGGTGAGTGGCATCAGGGACACGTCTAGAGTCAAACATCGATTTTATTTTATTTTCGCCCAGTTTAATCTTTAAACATCCAGTTGTCTCTGAAAACAACAGTTAAAAAATATGTTGACGAAAACAGTAAGAAAACTAAAAAACAAAATGAGGAGTTTCAAGTGTATTCTACATTTCAAAATAATGCAGCCTCTCACACTCGTCTGCAGGTTTGTCGTATGGGGAAACGTGTGAAGGACGATCTGCTGACGGTGGCGAGGACGGTGATGGATTGTTACCCTCCACACATGGACATCTTGAACGTCTACGCTGGATTCTACCATCAGAGGTTCTCTGCTCAACTCACTGAACTCGCTGCTTCTGCTCTGGGAATAGATGACTGCAGCTACCTGCTGTTCTGGGTCAATGACTGCTACCCACAGTGAGTCATATGAAACCATAGACCACCTTCAGCTGGTTTACTTACTTACTGTTATTTCACTGATTATGGGTTAATTGTTTTTTTCTAATTTAATTTTCCATGAAACTGATTTGACTCATTGATCAGATCAAAATTCTTGATCAGCGCAGTTTGAGAGAATCATCACAAATATCAGAGTATGAGGAGGTGAGATGTGATCAGAGACGTCTGAAGCCTTTCAGTGTGTGTTTCCACCTCAGGACAGTTCTGAAACACGAGGACCTGGATGGAAAGATAAAGACGGCCTGTCTGGGTTCTCTGCTGCAGCACAACCACCTGGAGCGGCTGGAGGAACAGTACCTGAGCCACAAAGAGGTGAAGACCAGCCAGCACCCACCTTTTTTAAAATGAACCCAACCATCAAATGTCAAATATATGTTGTGTCCTTCAACCTGCCTGAAAACAGAAAGTGAGTTAAAGAGCTGAGGAGTATTTTCTGAACCAGGATCAGTCGTGTGTTTGATGTTTAATTATTCAGGACCAAGTGAAGCTGTGGCTGAGAACAGCCTTAAAGAAAGAAGAGGACAGCTGGCTGAGCGGCAACACACCGGAGCTCATTGACACCTATTACTTCAGTCCACTTGCTGCTGATGTCATACAGGTGAGAGACAGAGTGCATATGTCATGAGTCCAAGACTTGTATGAAATACCTGAAATCCAGGTGAGTATTTAAACCGGTGTTCGGCAGGTGCACCTAGATTTGACCTGGACTGCAGTACGTCTATTAAGGTGTTTGTGATTCCAGGTGATCAACAGCTTCGTGATTGAGTTACATCATGTGATCAGAGACCAGAGCAAAACTCAGAGGATCACAGCTCACCTGGAGAGTTTCCTCCACAGGTAGACCACACCCACACACACAACGCAGTGGGTGGCGCAGTTGATGTGTAAATGTATGAAATGACGTGTGTTCCAGCTACGAGACGAGCATTAAAGAGTTTGTTAGGAGAAACCAAGGTAACACGGACTCAGTGATCAAAGCTCACCTGGTCTGTGAGCAGCAGTTCAGGTGAGATCCCCTGCTCGTTCCCCGCAAGACTCCTGACCTGTTTCTCGTCAGCTGATTGGCTGATTCTGACTCTCCTCAGGAAATACGTCACAGATCCGACAGGAAGTCTGAGTGAGCAGCAGCAACGTCGCTGTCTGGACACCCTGTCTGCCCTGAGGGATTGTGGGTACAGGTATTTCACCTGTACCATTCACGGGCTGCTAAAGGTACAAACTACTTCCTGTACTAACTGTACTGCAAAACCAGATACACAGTGTACATGAGTGTGTGTGTGTTCAGGTGTTTTACAGTCACCTGTGGACGTATGTGTGGTTGGATGGGGAACTTCCTGTTGTTGACTCAATGTTGACCTCTCTGAGCCGACAGCTGATGGACCTGACTGACCTGAACGCAGCGTGCAGAGAGGTGAGACAGTTGGCTTACCTGTCTGTGTCTCACCTGTCTGTCTCACTTGTTTGTCTCAATTGTCTGTATCGCTAACCTGTCTGTCCCTGAAGTCTCTGATGACCGTCATCCACCAGGACATGGTTCTTCAGTACGTGAAAAGGATGATGAAGACCAAGATGAAGAAAAGAGAGCAGCAGGTGGGCGGAGCCCAGCGGATGAAAGAAGACGCTCAGAAGATCAGTGACTTCTTCAAAGATGGGGTGAGTCGCTCCGCGGTGGAATGTAACTAAGTATTTACTCGAGTACTGGGCGTGTTGCCTGACGACAGGTTGTTTGTGTCACCAGGGCTGCAGCGCCTCCTCGTGGCTCGGCAACGTTCTCTGTAGCGTTGCTGAAGTTCTCCGTCTGCAGGATCCAGGAAGTGTTCAGCTGGAGCTCGTCTGTCTGGCCAGAACGTTCCCTGACCTCAGGTACACAGTCGACGTTCTCTCACCTGAACCAACAGGTTACCAGGTCCAGACGTTCCTGCTCAGCCAATCAGAAATGTTCATGTTCTCCTGTAAGAACGTCATATACATGTGTGTGAACATATGTAGATGTACATGTTCATATGTTCACATACATGATTGAATGTTTGTAAATAAATTAAAAAGCGTTTTAGTATTTGACCAACTTACTTTTATTTTTCACCCAAATCAAACATTCACCTTTCAGAAGAGAGACGTTATTTAACGTTCTGTGTAGGTGTGACTCTGTCAGGTCATGTGTTTTACAGAATTAACATACGTGTTTACCTCATTTCACTTGTGTGTCATTGGTTAAATGTTCGTCGTCGTGTGTTTCGTGAACAATGTGACCTAGATCTGCAGTGTGAGAAAACCTGGTTGCCGTGGGAGACGGCAGGTGTGTCCAGGTGCGCTCAGGTGTCTGATACTGAGAGGAGTCAGGTCACCTCAGATCATCTTCACCTGTCCCACTTCTGTTTCCTGAAATAAAAAGTGACTCAGCTGCTCCATGTTATCATAGCTGTAAATCACATGTGAGTCACATGATGTATTCACCTGTTGGTGTGGGATCATCAATACTTTTCATGTTTTTATGATCACTACTCTGTGTCATGTCTCCTCAGTGACGCTCACGTGTCAGCGCTGCTGTCTCTGAAGACCGGCCTTTCAGCTGCGGAGGTTCACGCCATCCGGCGCAGCGTGGAGGAGAACCGCCTCCTTGACGTCTCCACCGATCACAGCCCTCCATTCTTCTCCAAGGTCAAAGTCAACTGGATCAATAATAAGATCAATCAGATCCGACTGTAAAGCTGAACCGAGCCTGTTAGCATGTTGTCATAATCAACAAACAGGCGGCCATGTTGAAGGACAGACAGCTGAACAGACATTTTCCTCATTTGAAGTGTTAAAGATGATGTGTGCAGGTCAGATGGAACCTGGTTCCTTGTCTCTAATGGATGTGGTGTTCCTCAGGGCACTGACCTGAGTCCCCTGTTCTTCTGTTACAACTTTAGTCGTGTTCTCTGCTGTGTGATCAATCCACTTTATTTTAATTCGAATAAACGACGTCACAGGTAATGATTCCACCAAATTGTGGTTTGTGACATTTTTCATGAAACTAGTTGAGCTAAGTTACAGATATAGTTTGTGTAGAACCCTCACAAATCATCTGCTGTGGTAGAAGTTCTCTGACAGAACATGTGATGAAGTGGTGGTAACATATAGTGAAGAAAGATGGACGACACACCTCCTCATTATGTTTGATTCACATAAGAAATGAGTTGATGTTTCACGTGATGATGTTCAGCTCAGTCTGCAGAAAAACATCAGATCAGAGAAATCAATAATCAATGATTGTCTGTTACTCTGCTGCCACCTGGTGGTCAACACTATTTACTGCAAAATAACAAGAATATCCCTTCTGAAAGTGAAAATAAAATACAGGCAGACATGTGTAACTAACTCTAACTCTAACTGACTTTAATCCTAACTAATCCAACACTGGTTCTGATGAAGCAGTTGGCGAACGTCAGCGGAACGTCAGCAAAAGGTCAGCGGAACGTCGGGGGAACAGCGGCAACCGTTTTTGTTACTGAACATCATTAAACACCTTTAACGCAGCTCAACTTCCTGTCATGTGTCAAACTAAAGAAGCTAATACACAACATCACATAGTTATTAATGAATGAAAACATGTCAATCATCATGACAATGAACAAAGTGATAATGTCACTGACCCCGCCCCCCCAGGTGTGAGGCGGTGCTGAAGGACAACACTGAGCTCACGTTGCGTTCAGGGACACAGATACTTTATTACATATTCAGGTGTTAAGAGTCCAACAGTTGGAGACAAATAGAAAATCCTTCACATGTTGGAAGACGAAGTCTAAGTGAGCAGCGCTAGACGTCCTGAAGGACGCTCTCTGATTGGTTACAGTGAGGGGGTGAGGAGGGGGAGTGAGGGGTGACAAGGGGGCAGTGACACAGTTCACTTCTGCTCTGGGATCATGTCGTCGATGGAGTCTCCAGCCTCCAGGCGTTTCTCCATGTCCACCAGCAGGTTAATGCCATCCACCACCATCTGAACCAGCTCCACCTCCGAGAAACCCAGACGGTCCGCATTGGAGATATCAAAGACTCCGCCCACCGCCGCTGTGTCCACTCCACCTGAGACAGACACATGAAGTGATGTCACAGGGGCACTTTCATTTGTTAGACAGGACATTTTACACCTGTCTGTCTGTAGCAGTCTCACTGTCTGTCTGTACCCGTCTCACTGTCTGTCTGTACCCGTCTCTCTGTCTGTCTGTACCTGTCTCTCTGTCTGTGTACCCATCTGTCCATATGTACCTATCTACAGGTATGTGCGTACCTGTCCCTCTCTTCTGAAGTCTCAGTCTCTCCAGGATGTCTGCAAACTTGTCACTCTTGCTGAGGTTCGGCAATTTGACATGGACACCGGCTCTTAGTCCTGTCCCCAGGTTTGACGGACAGGTGAGGACATAGCCCAGGTGTTCATTCCACATGAACTCGTGACCTCGCTCCTTAAACAAGTCCTCAATCTGCCAGAGAGAGAGAGAGAGAGCACAGGTAAGACAGGTGTTACAGATCGGAGGGAGAGACAGGTGAGAACTGATGGGGGTAAGACAAGTTAGACCAGGGGTGCGACAGATGAGGACAGGTGTGAGACTGCAGGGACGTGAAGACAGGTCAGACAGTTGGACTGACCTTGGTGAGTCCGGTGCAGAAGCGGGTGAACACCTCCCTCATGTTCCCACCTTTCTGCATGCTGATGACGCGCAGGTGATCCTCCTCGTTCACCCACACCAGGAAGGTCTTGTTGTCGTTGTGCCTGCAGGTGAACGTCAGAGGGCGGGAACAGGAAGTCGGTCAACAACACGTCAACAACATGTCAACAGCATGTTTGATGTGGACGTCACTCAGAACATTTTTTTTATTGTCTCCTGTTCTTGAGAAAAACAAAGCAATTGGTCAGTGTCACATAATCAGAATGGTTTGATCACGCATCTCATTGTTCTGGCTCTGAGGTCAGAGTTCATGGTTAGTTAACTGACCAGATGCCGCGGCCATCGGGCCAGTCACGGGCCATTCCGGATGCCAGCAGCAGAGGGGAGACGGGCTTATCAAACAGGAAGTGGTCATCGATCAGCTGCTGCTGTTCCTCCTCCGTCATGTTCTTCAGGGCGTAGTACTTCCCCTTTAATTCCCCGTCCAGGATGTCCAGACCTGCAGCACACCGGAGGTCAGAGGTAAGACACAGGGAAGGTCAATCCAGTCCAGCCTTGTTTAGCTAGTCTCGTTCAGTTCAGTCTAGTCTCTGAGAAGGACAACACAGCTCACACTTATATGAGGTCTGCTGCTCACTGAGCCTTACTGAGGCATTATGGGAAATCGGAGTTTGTTCTCCCCTGCCTCAGTGAGCGAACAGCAACAGAAACACGTGAATCATCAGTGTCCCTGAATGCACCACAGATCACGTGACTGCTGCAGAAATAAACTAAACTAAAGCTGCATCTCATACTTTCAATGGACAGGTTTTCGATGGCTCGTCTTTCTCCACGGCTGCAGTGTGGCGGCAGACAGAAGCCACGAATACTCCGTCCGGTCCGAACCCGAGAGCTCAGCACGTAGTTTGGATCCAGATCATCTCCACCCTGAAACGTACAGAACACCAGAGTCAGAGTCAGGTGGTTTAAAGGAAACCAGACTAAGATACTAGGATCAGTCCCTACAGTTCATCCTGACGGGACCATGAACGTCAGTTTCTCAGCTATGTGATCCTAAAAATCACTTTCTCATACAATTCACAAACATGTCAGGAAAGTGTTCTGTTCAGACGCTGATCCTGGTCTGGTTTAAAACAGAAAACCTTTTTCTGCACTGAACCTGAACCTCCATCTTTACCTGACCCAGACCAAAGAGCTGCTGTTGAACCACAAATCAGACTCTGAATGTGAATCTGGTCTGTGGACATGGACCTGGTCTGTGAACCTGGTCTGTGGAAATGGTCTATGGACATGGACCTGGTCTGTGAACCTGGTCTGTGGACGTGAATCTGTTCTGTGAACCTGGTCTGTGAACCTGGTCTGTGAACCTGGTCTGTGGACGTGAATCTGGTCTATTCACCTGCAGGTTTTCAGAGTTCAAGTCGGTCTTGTGTTTGTCTGATGGCTTGTATCCTCCGTGGCGGTCTTCAATGACTGGATCCATCAGGTCTTGGAACACCTCATACGTCTCCTCGTCTCCAGCAACACAGCCTACCGTCATGATGAACGGGTGACCTGCAGGGACACAAAATGGCTAATCAGTTCCAGCCCATCACTACCTTCAGGACTCGTGACTAAAGTACTTATACTCGTTGTATTAAAACGTTTAGAGCAGATGCTGCTAACTAAGTTAGGTTGGATTTGATGTGGAGGCTGGATCAGGTGATTGGAAATAAACTTGCCCCCTCCCTTCCTTCCTGTGGGGGAATTAACGACCAGAAATTTACCAGATCTAACAAGTCGATCCAATTAAAGAGTTTATTATTAAGTAGCAGCTCAACCCCAGAATAGACATCACAAGTAGGTTCCTTCTTTGGTGCAGAGACACCTGGACTGAGATAGGAACTACCTGGATGACCTGTAATTTTCTCTTAGTAAACTCAGAGGTTCTAATACTTAAACACCTCAAACATACATTAATAATACGGCAGCATCAAACCTTGAAGAGCTCATATCACCACTAGAGCCCCAAGCTCCCAGAATTCAGTCTGTTGTCCCTCAAGTCTAAAAGTAGAGGAGGAGCCAGAGCGTTCAGCATTAAGCTCCTGTGGAATCATCTCAGGTTCAGTTCTGGAGGCAGACTCCCTCTCTACGTTTAAGATTCAAACTTCCTCCATGATGAAGGTTTAGTTAGAGCTGGTCCAGGTTTGTCTTGGACCTGCTCTAGTTCTGCTGCTGGAGGATACACAGGGCTTCTCTTTCCTCTTCATCACATTAATGTCTCATCAACCATGGACCTCATTAATGAAACATCTTGTAGGATTCATATTAAAATTCTATGTGTGCACAAAAGCCAAAAATGGTGTACGCAAAAAGATTGAGATTTCTGAATCCGTGCACACACACGTGAATGTTCCCTTCATACATCACAGCCTGCCTGGAAACGTGTGAACATAAATCTGCCTCATGCCCCGCCCTCTACACGCCCACATTCAACCATAAAGGGTCGATGCGAAACACCTCATGAATATTAAATTGACCTGATGAGTCAGCATCAAGTGACGAGAAGAAGAAGAAAGTTTGTGACATGGAGGTGAAGACACAGCAGTGATGTCATGATTAAAGAAAATACACTGACGTGTTAAAACAGAAAAAACAAAGTGACTTAAAGATGGAGGAGAAAGAATGTGAAGGAGCATGTTTTATCTCCTGAACGTGTTTTAATTTAACTGCAGGATTATTAAACAGTATTACTGTGATACTGTGATACTGTGATACTCTGTTACTGTGATACTGTGATACTCTGTTACTGTGATACTATGATACTGTGATACTGTGATACTGTGATACTCTGTTACTGTAATACTATGATACTGTGATACTCTG